TGTCCTTCTCCAGGAGCTGGTCCCTTCTGACAATATGTCCTAAGTATGAGAGACAAAATCTGGTCATCCTGGCATTCAAGGCACATTCTGGTTGTACTTCCTCCAACACCATAACTCAGATGCATCAGTTCGTCTATGGTCTTCCTCATTCTTTGTCCAACTTTCACATGCATATGATTTAGGTCAGGTGCACCTTAGTCCTCAAACTGACATCTTTGCTCTTGAACACTTTAAAGAGGTCTTGTGCAGCAGATTTGCCTAGTGCAATACAGCATTTGATCTCTTGAGTGCTGCTTCCATGAGTGTTGACAATTGTTCCAAGAAAAATGAAGTCTTTGACAACTCCAATATCTTTCCTTTTATATGGATGGTGTTTATTGGTCGAGTGTAAGGATTTTTGTTTTCTTTACACTGAGGTGCAACCCATACCGAAGGCTGTGGTCTTTGATTTTCATCAGCATTTTAAGTCCTCTTCATTCTCAGCAAGCAAGGTTTCATTACCTGCATTATCACAGATGGTTAATGAGTCTTCCTCCAATCCTGATGCCACATTCTTCTTCATATAATCCAACTTCTCAGATTATTTGCACAGAATATAGATTGAATACGTATGGTAGAAGGATACAACCCTGATACACACCTTTCCTGATTTTAAACCATTCAGTGTCCCCTTGTTCTGTTCAAACAGCTGCCTCTTGGACTATGTACAGGTTCCTCATGATCACAATTAAGTGTTACGGAATACTCATTCTCTGCAATGTTGTCCATAGCTTGTCATGATTCATACAGTCAAAAGCCTTCGCATAGTCAATAAACACAGGTAAACATTTCTCTGGTATTCTATGCTTTCAGCCAAGATCCATATGACATCAGCAAAGGTATCCCTCATTCCACATCCTTGCCTGACACTGGCTTGGACCTCTGGCAGTTCCCTGTCAGTGTACTATTACAGAAGTTTTAAAATTATCTTCAACAAAATTTTATTTGCATGTGATATTAACATTGCCAGATGATTTCTGCATTCTGTTGGATTAACGTTCTTTGGAATGGGTATAAATATGGATCTCTTTCAATCAGTTGACCATGTAGCTCTCTTCCAAATTTTTTGGCATAGATGAGTAAGTGTATTAGTTTGTTGGAAGATTTCAATTTGTATTCCATCAATTCCTGGAGCCTTGTTCTTTGCCAGTGCCTTCAGTACACCTTGGACTTCTTTCTTCAATACTGTTGGTTCTTGATCATATGCTACCTCTTGAAATGGTTTAACATCGACCATTTATTTTTGGTATTGTGACTCTGTATTCCTTCCATCTTCTTCTGAAGCTTTCTGCATCATTCAATATTTTGCCAATAGAATCCTTCAGTATTGAAAGTTGAGGCTTGAATTTTTTCCTTAGTTCCTTCAGCTTAAGAAATGCTGAGCGTGTTCTTCCCTTTTGGTTTTCTAACTCCAATCTTTGCACATTATATTTGACTTTGTCTTCTCAAGTTGCCCTTTGAAATTTTCTGTTCACCTCTTTTACCTCCTCATTTCTTCCATTTGCTTTATTGCTTTAGCATCTCTACACTGGAAAGCATGTTTCAGGGTCTCTTCTGATATCCATCTGGTCTTTCTTTCTTCTTAATGACCTTTTGCTTTCTTTCTGTATGATGTTCTTGATGTCATCCTACAACTCTTCTGGTCTCTGATCATTTGCACCTAATGCATCAAATGTGTTTTTGAGATGATCTTTAAATTCAGGTGGGATATGTTCGAGGTCATATTTTGGCCCTCATGTACTTGTTTTAGTTTTCTTCAGCTTCAGCCTGAACTTGCATATGAGCAATTGATGGTCTGTTCCACAGTCTGCCCCTGCCTTGTTTTGGCTGATGATATGGAGCTTTTCCACTATATCTTTGCACATATGTAGTTAATTTGTTTTCTGTGTATTCCATCTGGTTAAATCCATGTGTATAATCATCTTTTATGTTGCTTTAAAATGGCATTTACAATGAAGAAGTCATTAGTCTTGCAAAATTCTATCATGCAATCTCCAGCTTTGTTTCTATCACCAAGACCATATTTTCCAACTATTGATCCTTCCTTTTTGTTTCCAACCTCTGCATAAGCACAAGAAATTATCAATACATCTTAATTGCATATTTGATCAATTTCAGAGTGAAGAAGTTGGTAGAATTCTTCAATTTCATAATCAGTGGCATTAGTAGTTGGTGCATAAATTTGAATAATGGTACTATTAAATGGCCTTCCTTGTAGGCATGTGGATATTATCCTATCACAGACAGCATAGTACTTCAGGATTTATCTTGCTATGTTCTTTTTGATGATGAATGTGATGCTATTCTTCTTCAATCTGTCATTCCCAGCATAGTAATCCGTGTGATTGTCAGATTCAAAATGGCCAATGCCAGTCCATTTCGGCTCACTAAGACCTAGGATATCTATCTTTATGGGGTCAATTTCATTTTTGACAACTTAAAATTTTCCTAAATCTATACTTTGGTACATTCCATGTTCCAATTATTAATGGGTGTTTACAGCTGTTATCACTCATTTGGAGTTGTGTTCCATTAGCCAATGAAGGTACCAAAAGCTTTATTCCATTCACGTCATCACGGTCAACTCTACTTCGAGGAAGCAGCTCTTCCCCAGTCATACTGGGTGCTTTCCAACCTGAGGGGCTCATCTTCCAGCACTATATCTCTCAATATTCTGGTGCTCTTCATCATGTTTCAATATTCAATATACTGGTGCTAGATGACAATATTTCATTGCTATTTATAAGGTTTTCAGTGGCTAAACATTCAGAAGGAATCTGTCTCTCCTTCTTCTGAGTCTGTCTTAGTCTGGAAGCTCATCTGAAACCTGTCCACCATGGAAGATCCTTTTGGTATTTCAAATACCAGAGGTATAGCTTCCGGCATCACAGAAACACACAAGCCACCACAGTACAACAAACTGACAGACGAATGGAGAGTCCTTACTGATAAAATGTCCAAGTTTATTTATTTATTCAAATATGTCTTTGTGATCGTGTAGACTCATTGGTATTCATTTGATTCTTTGGGTTATAATCTAGAGCTAATAAGGAGCTCTGGTAGCGTAGTGGTTACGAATCGGGCTGCGAACCTTAGGGCCAGCAGTTCAAAACTACCAGCCGCACCGCGGGAGAAAGATGAGGCGTTCTGCTCCCGTAAAGATTTACAGCCTCGGAAACCCTGTACAGTCTCTGTGGGTTGGAATCGACTCGACGGCACACAACAACAACAACAACAATATAGTCTGTTGCTCATATTGTTCCATTGGGAGTTGTTTCAGTTGGCTCTAGTGCCCCATTGACATACAGCTGTCATTATGGGGAGGTTTGTTGTTTTTATTGTCTGGTTTTCTTTTAGCACTTTCTTACTTTCCAGAACTCCTGGCTAATCCTGTATATTTCTTCTCTCGGTCATAGAACCAGCTCTTTCTCCAAAAAGCCTCTTAAACCCAAGGTCTCTTGTTGTTGTCTAGTTGGCTCTGGCTCATAGAGACCCTAGATACAGTTTACAAGGAGTGGTAGGTGAATTTGAATCACCACCTTTGTGATTCAAACTGACCTTTCAGTCCAGTGCATTATTCCATAGCACCAACCCAAGGTCTAGAGTGATTTTTATTGGGGAATGGTATTAGAAACCAAGCTCTGGGTGTCAGGTGCTGTTGTTTTTAAGCCCTCTCAACTAACAGAGCAAGGAAATATATATGTGACGTTGTCAAGGACTTCATTCTCCTTGGATCAACTATCAACACTCACGGAAGCAGCAGTCAAGAAATCAAATGACGTATTGCGTTAGGCAAATCTGCTGCACAAGACCTTTTTAAAGTGCTGAAGAGCAAAAATGTAAGCTTGAGGACTAAGGTGCGCCTGACCCAAGCCATGATGTTTTCAATATCCACAAATGCATGCTTCTAAGCTCTCTCAAGTAACAGAGCAAGGAAATATATATGTGAAGTTGTCAAGGACTTCATTCTCCTTGGATGAATGGTCGCTATGGGTTGGTACCGACTCGATGGCACCTAGTAACAACAACAACATACAAACCTGGTGTAGTGCTGTAGGATAAGCACTGGACTGCAAAGTTGGTTTAAGATGCAAGGTGGCAGTTCAAGCCTACCAGCCACTCCTTGGAAACCTTATTACAGGGTCACTATGAGTCAGAAAGACTGGACTGCACTTAACAACAACATGCAAACCTGTATATAGAAATATATCTATTAATATTCTTATATGTAGCCATCTGTGTCTGGTGGTGGTGGTGGTTATGTGCCGTGGAGTCGCTACCAACTCATAGTGATCCTGTATAGGGTTTCTGGGGCTGTAAATCTTTAAGGGAACAAAAAGCCTCATCTTTCTCCCACAGAACCACTGGTAGTTTCAAACTGCCGACCTTAAGTTTAGCAGCTCAATTTGTAACCACTACACTACCAGAGCTCCTTCATCTGTGTCTATATAAAGTTAAATATGAATTCTTACTGACGTCTCCAACTCTAATCCATTACCACCTGGATCATTCTAGCTTCTTGCAGTCACAGGGGAGTTGGAGGGAGGTGTCTTTGTACCTTCAGCATACAGTGAAGGAGACAGTGTTGGGCTAATAGTCACTAGTAAGTTAGAAAGTCTTCCTCCTACATACCCTTCTGTTCTGCCCTGGGTGGGGCCCATTGTATGGGTCTAGGCCAGGATGACCTCCCAGGGAGAAGTCTAGAAGATTCTGTGTGGAGAAGGAGGTTCCGCCTCAGGAGCCCTCTGGGTCCCAGTAAATGGGTGGAGCCTAGGAGGCAGGACAGGTGGCGTTAGCAAGCCAGCGTAGCCCCAGATGTGGAACCAGGAACCATGCCTGAGTTCTTGCGTCTTGGTGCCATGGTGACCAGCAGGGGGCACTCTAGGACCCCAATGTAGGAAACCAATGCTATCCCAGAAGGTAACAGTTGGGCAGCAAGTGAGTCTTCTGTCTCTCCCCAGGGACGTGGCTGCCACCTTTAACTGGTCTGCTTTGTTTCTCAAAGGACGAGAGGACCAGTGTAGAGCGGAGACCCCGAGGTAGCCTTCCCACCCCACCAGAACGTGGGCCCAAAACATGGGCTTGAAACCCAGCCTTCCTGTGGGCGGGACCTGTGGAAGGACAGGGAACCCACCACCTGGCACCCCTAGGAAGAGGGACACCAGGGGGAAGCTCTGCTCGATCCCAGTCCTTACAAGATGACCAGTGAAGCTGGTGGGCAGCAGATGAGGCCAAGGGTATGCAGAGGGGGGAGTCCAAGAAGGCTTCCTGGAGGTGCTGACCCCTGACCCACTGAAATCTGGCTGGGCAGAAGGGAGGGAGAACAGAATGCCCAGCTTCCGTTCTCAGGTGGGAGTGAGGAAGACAAAAGCTGGCAAGGGGCTCCAGGTGGTTGCAGGGGTCAAGCAAGGACAAGGCTCCCCATGACTTCTGACCCCAAGCTTACGTACCAGCAGCACCACCAGCCTGCTCATCTCTGCTCATACCACTCTCTGCCCTCAGCCATCCAAGAGATGAACAAGATCTGTACCACTCCTGGCTGTGTGATCGCAGGTAGGCCCCACACCTCATGTCTTTACTGCCCTGCCCACCTGACGGTGGTACAGGCCCTTCTCAGGGACATGTAGACACTAAGCCCTGGTGGGGTGGACCTAGGCTCAGCACAAGTGATGAGAAGCTGGGAGCAAAGCCAGCCCTCAAGATGGGAGGTGGGTTCTCTCACCTCATGTCTCGCTCACTGCACCCACCAGCCAGCCTTGGCCTCCTGGGCAGTAGGACCCCTGGGAGCAACACTGAAGCAGCTGCTGGGATCTTCAGGTCTTCTCCAGACCCACAGCTCTACTGTCTAATCTCAAATCCCCCCCTTGGGCCCTGGCTTTATAGTGGGGGCTATTTGCAGATGAGATACTGGGAGATGGGGTAGGAATGGGCCCTAGTGGAAACAACTCAGAAATATGAGTTTGCTGCCCCTTGTGTGGTCCCAGACGTCTGTAGTAATGCTGTGGAACCCCAGCCTCAGACGTAGCTTGGGACAAGAGAAAGTGAAATGGGAATGCAAAGGAGGCCCCTGGGGAGGGACCAGGTGGAGGGTGGGTCCTCAGGGAGGTCAAGAGAAAGATTCTGGCGGAGGGTCCAGCCCAGTTGTCCCAGTTGAGAGCATTCGGCTTGGAGACTTTGAGCCAAAGTGTGCCTTGCAAACTCCTGGGTCCGGGGACAAAGCCTCCCCACAATCCCTGCCCATAGTGATAAAAGCTGCATCCCCCAACAAGGGATCATACTGACCAGGAGAACAGGGGCCAAAGCCAGAAGCTTAGCACTGGCTGCTGGGCACTTCCTGTTCCTCTGATACCACCTGGACCTCAAGCAGGACTGTCGATACCCCTGGGGGCTCAGGGCTACATGCTTAATAAGTGGTATTATCAGAACTTGAATCCAAATTGGGTGACCGCCCCACCTTACTTCCAGTCTCCCTGAGGCTCAGAGGGGACAATGAACTCTCCCAAGAGCACACAGCTGGCATCAACTGTCCAACAGTCCATCCCCAAGGGGCAGATGCCCCAAGGGCACTTGCAACTCTGTCTTCCCTCTCTCTCCCCTCCTCTCTGGGGCGAGCAGCTGCCAGGATCCTTCAAAACATGGACCCATCCCAGGAACCGTGTGATGACTTCTACCAATACGCGTGTGGTGGTTGGCTGAAGCACCACGTGATCCCCGAGACCAACTCTCGGTACAGCGTCTTCGACATCCTTCGGGATGAACTGGAAGTCATCCTCAAAGGTGGAGAGTGGCCTAGGGGGATGGGAGAGGCTGGGTGTCCAATAATGGGAGACTGGGAGTCCGGGCTGGCTGGGTGAGCAGACAGCCTAGGGCCCTATATGGCCTCTATGGCCTCTTGTGTCCAGGGGAATGCAGAGGGATGAAGTTCCCACGGGGTGAAGGGAATACCCCTCACATAGGGCCACTTCAGGCCTCTGTTCATCAAGCATTCCCCTCGGTCCCCAGGGGTGCTGGAGAATTCCACCTCCAAGGACCGGCCGGCTGTGAAGAAGGCCAAGGCATTGTACCGCTCCTGCATGAATGAGAGTGAGTGAGGGGGACCTCGGCCAGAAATGCCCAGTTCACCTTCAGGACCTCTGGGAGTGGGCATCACTCAAGACTCCCATCAGACTACCATGCACTGTCCCCTCCACTTGGCCATTAGGGCCAAGCATGGACTTCCTGCCAGCTGCCCCCACCATCCTCAAGAGGTGGATGCCAACCAAGGGCTGCCTAGTGCGGTCCAGAAAACCTGTGGTAAAGGATGTAGAATTTGGTGTTTTGGTTCCTGTAGAAGAATTTGCATTGGCTTCTCTGCCAGCTATTTGGGCACCACCCATTTAGGACCCTTTCAGGCCCCCATGTGGGGACTTGCAGGTGTGGCCAGTGGTCATGGATACTGTGGGGGAGATGTTTCCTCTGCTCAGGGCAGGGATCAAGGTAGCTGTTGTCCCAGCTGTCCCCTGGAGAAGGGCAGATGTGTTTCTAGTCTACCTGAGAACAGGAGTCACTGGGTCACCAGCTTTATGGAGAGAGGTGTTCCTCTTAAAACCTCACTTGAGCACTCTGGGCTGGTCCCCCTAGACACTGGAGGTCAAGTCCCCTTTCAGTGCAGGTGGCTTCCCTGACATTCCCACCTCCACTTAATTTTTTACTAAAGTTCTCCTAAATCTCTTGCCAGACCATTGCCACATTTGAGAAGTTGAGTTTTAAGTCCTATCTCATGGTTTTAGCAGGCCACACTGCTGGAAATGGAATTCACTGAGCGCATCCCCCAGCTCTTCCCTGTCACCTGCTCCTAGCACTCACTGGGTGCCACAATTCAGAGTCTTCTTAAAGGACTGGCTGGCTGCGTCTGCTTCCCCAGTGACCACCCTATCTTTCTTGGGCTCCCTTCAAGACCCACCACCATCACCTACTTTCCAGCCTCCAAGTCCAGGTGCCTCTGGCTTGTCCTTTCGGTCCCCTGGGCTGATGTACCTTTCTTTAGTAGCCGTCATGATCTGATTTTACGCCAGAGTCAGGGTGTGAAATAAGACATGCAGAGTCCCCAGCTCCATGCCTGCAAGGTGGGTGCTGGCATCTTGCTAAGTATGTAGCATTTCATGGTCTGCATGACAACATGTATGCAACTGGAAGAGGCCCACATAAAGGGGCCCAAGGGAGTGACCGCCACCCCCTCCTCAGGCATGATTGAGAAGCGAGACTCCCAGCCACTGCTGGACATCTTGGAGGTAGTGGGAGGCTGGCCAGTGGCCACCAACAATTGGACCAAGACCACAGGTGAGGCCAGTGGCTCCATGCCAGCCACCAAATGGACAGACAGAGGCCCTCAGGAGTGGATGAGACCTTATGAAGGAGGGCCCCCTCCTGGCTTGAGCCAGACAGCCACGTGGCTGGCTGCCCACTCTTGGAGCCCCCAGAGACCCAACTTCAGGGTCCTGGAAGTTAAGTGCTGGGGCATCTGTGCTCACTGCTGATTGCTGTCCCCAGAGGTTGGCCTCCCGCTCTGCAGACCTCCCCTTCTAGAGCCCCAGGGAGGACTCAGCCCAAGTCAGGGTCCCTGGCCACTGGCCTGAGTCTCTGCTCTGAGCTCTCAAACTTCTCCTGACTGTGGGTGCTCAGCACTCACATGGTCCTGCAAACTGGAGACGTGCCCCCCCCCCGACCCAGGCCCCAAATGTAGAGGCAGTGGAATCACCATCCAAGGAGGGGCTGGGCTGAGAAACCCTGGAGGGTCCTGCCTCCCCCCAAGCAGGGGCACTGACTTCTCAGGCCTCAGGTGGGAGTTGGAACAGCAGCTGGCTATGATGAACACTCAGTTCAACAAGCGTTTGCTCATCGACCTCTTCATCTGGAATGATGACCAGAACTCCAGTCGCCACATCATCTATGTATGCGAATCACCAGAGGCGGTGCTGGGGCTGAGGGGCTGGGGCTGGGGTCCTGTCCAGTCCAAAAGGCCAATGAGAAGCCACATGGGGGACATGCCCCACTCAGGACCCATGTCAGCCTTTGAGGTCCACCTTTCCACCCCACCCATTGGCCCTATGTTCTGCACTCAACATGAGCAGGGATTCTTGAGCCCTGGGGACCACTACACACTCATCACCATCAGACAGACAGACCTCCCCAGCCTCTCTCCGTCCCTCCCCATCCCAGTTTGGGAGAAGGGAGGGCCAGGCTCACTGCCTCTGTGTCTCCAGATAGACCAGCCCACCCTGGGTATGCCATCCCGGGAGTACTACTTCAACGGGGGCAGCAGCCAGAAGGTGAGTGGGGCCCTGCCCCAGCCCTCCTCCCTTCATTTCCCTACCTGCCACCTCTGAGTCTGACACCCTCCTCTGACCCTTCAGACCCACCTGTGGCCTGCACTCAGCCAGCCTTCCAGAGTGTGTGGGTAGGTGGAGCCCAGTGCTGGGAGTGGGCACTGTCTGAACCACAGAGAACATGCCTCAAACACCCCTGTGCCAAGTTCTACACTGAGCTCAGCTTGGCCTCCACAGCTCAATGGTTATTCCAGAACACTCCTGTTAAAATGGTCACTCCCATCTTCACAATACAGATCAAGGGTAGGGGGGCCTGGGCCCTGAGCCTGTACCCCCATGAAGAGCTAGTGGCCAGTCAAGCCAGGGGAGTGGGAAGTCAGCAGGGCAAAAGCTGCTCAGGTGTAGGGAAGTGGACACCTCAGCCTGAGGTTGGGGAAGGACAAGTTCAGCAGGGTGTTCAAAGGCAAGAAGTGTGCAGTGACCCATGGGTACTACGGGTGGGCTTTCTGGAGGAGTGAACTGTGAATGAGGCTTTGAAGGAAGGATAGAACTAGAGGAAAGGGGCTGGTGTGGCCAACGAAAAGGACTGTGGGTAGGGCTGTGGGCTGGGAGAGTAGGCCCAGGGATTCTGCAGAACAACAAGGAATGGCCTACACCAGAGCAGGCAGCCATGGGCCAAGACAGATTGGGGTGCTGACCCAGCCTGGGGGCCAGGGGACTCAAGGAGTTGGTGAGGAAAGCTTGCCCCAGGGTGAACATGAAGATGGAGGGGCCAGAGACACAAGCATGACCAGGACCCCTCTGTGACCCTCCGTCCCCAGGGCTGGCCTGAAGAGTGTGGCTGAGGTAGCCTAGCTCAGCCACCTGTCCCTCTGGCCCAGGTGCGGGAGGCTTACCTGCAGTTCATGATCTCTGTGGCTACAATGTTGAGGGCTGACATGAACCTCCCCAAGAATGACTTCCTGGTGCAGAAGGACATGGCCAACGTGCTGCATCTGGAGACACAGCTAGCAAATGTGAGGTTCCCAGGGGCCGGGGGGCAGGGGCTGGAAGCCTGGGCCCAGGCATCCCAATATGAGTGTATGCCCACCCTGCACAGGCCACGGCACCCCAGGAGGAAAGGCATGATGTCACTGCACTGTACCACCGGATGGATCTCCAGGAGCTTCAGAGCAGATTTAACCTGAAGGTGAGGCTTCCTAGAGGAGGTGCCACAGGCTCACCACGTCTCCCTGTCTCACAGGGGAAAGAGGAGAAGGGGTTTCCATAAGGGGCAGGGCCCCCAGCCCGCATAACCTGAGCCAGAGTCCCTCACTTACATCTCAGAAATATGCCCTCCCATTCCTCATCAGGCCCAACCTGGACCCTTTGAGAGCTGTTGTTAAGCACTGTGAAGTCTGTTCCAATTCATAGCAACCCTGTATAGGGTTCCCATGGCTGTAAATCTTTGTGGGAGCAAAATACCTCATCTTGCTCTCTTGAAGTGGCTGGTGGGATCAAGCTGCTGACCTTGTGGTTCCCAGTCCAGTGCTTATCCTATAGAGCCAATAAGCTCCCCTTTGAGAGCTGGACAGTGCAATTCCAAATTACAATAGGACACTGGGTATAACTGGGACAAGGTCACCCCTTCCATGAGGTCACTACGAGAGTAACCTCATTTTCCTGGACAGGAAACTAAGGTTTGGACTGACCCAAAATTATAGAATCCATCCAAGGAGGGGATAAACAGACCCAAGTCAGAGAGCAGAGGATGTGGGCAGGAATGTTATCCACAGTCAAGAAACTGGAGGGTGTGGATAGGGATATGGGATTCTTGTGTGGATAGGGATGGGATCCCCAGAGTGGAAGGTGTGGGCAGGGATGGGACCCCAGTCAGAGAGTGGAGGATGTGGACCAGGGCAGAACCCCAGTCAGAGAGAGTAAAGGGTATGGGCAGGAATGGGACCTGCCCCCTCTGCTCCGCTCCCCCACCCCACCCCCACCCCCTACCCCCCATGGAAGGTATGGATAGGGATTAAACCTAGTCAGAGAGTGGAAGGCATGAACCAGGACAGAAAACTAGTCTGAGAGCAGAGGTTGTGGGCAGAGAACCAGACTCCATGCTGACATTGGGCTCTACCAATGAACCAAACAAATAAAATCTTATGCTTCAAGGAGCCTGCGTTTTAGTGGAGGAGACAAAAAAGAGGAGATTGAGAATACATTAAATGTTGATATGTGCTGCAGGATAATGCACTGGACCACAAGGTCAGTCTGAACCCCAGGGTCGGTGGTTCAAACTCACAAGCTGCTCCTGGGAAACCCTATACAGGGTCACTATGAGGTGGAACCGATTTGATGGTACTTAACAACAACATGTGAGCCCAGAAGGAAGGGGGTGGGAAGAAAGGGTAGCCAGGAGAACCTCACAGGAAAGATGATGTGTGAGCGTAGACTTGGAGGGGGAGTTCAGCTCTGCCACTCAGTGTCCAGGACAAGTGCAAAGGCCCTAAGGTACGTTTCAAGACAGCAACAAGGCTTGGGTGGCCAGGGAAGTTGAGGTCAGGGCAGTAAATGGGTAACCACATTACCTTTGACTCACAGAGAGATGGGGTGGAGCACAGAGGACATGATCTAAGAACGTTAAGAGGATCCTTGTGGCTGCTGAGTTGGAAACGGGCCAAAGGGGACAGGGCACGAAGCAGTAGCTCCCAGATTTATTTTGAAGAACTAGATGTTAGAAGTGAGAGAGAAAGGGGGAAGTGAAGTAGCCTGAAGCTACCAGGGAGATAGCATGGGAACAAGTCTCCAAGAACACCAGACTTGGGGTATTTGGTTTCTAATGCTTTTATCATGCTTAGGACTGCCACACAGTGAGCAAGTTGATGTCGTCATTACTCAAGTCAAGACGTTCATCATTCCCAACATCCCAGAAGTCCCCTCCCGATCACCACCTTGTCCTCCTCTCCACCCTGGTGTCTCACACGCTGACAATATCACTGGAACCAGACAGATGTACTCTTTTGCATCTGGCTTCTTTTGGTCTACAGTTTGTGCATGAGATTCTTCCATGTCATGGCATCTGGCAAGGGCACCTCCATTTTGATGTCTGAATAGTATTCAATTCTACCCATGCTCATTACTCATTCATTGAGTCATAGTAACCCTGTCCCACAGGATTTCCAAGGCTGAAGTCTTTATCAACGATGTGGAACTATCACATCTGTCTCCTGCAGAGCGGCTGGTGGGTTCCACCCACCAACCTCTTATTTATCAGCCGATAACTTCAACCATCCACCACCTTTTATTCAATTCTAAAAACATATAGCTCAGATCCCTACTCGACTGTTGGCAGACCTCTGTTGATTCCAGTTCCGGGTTTTTCTGAATAATAGATTTTTCAGTGGACCTCTGGGTTGATCCCAGTTCTGGATATTTCTGAATAATGTATACATCTTTTGGTGCACAGACCTGTGTATTTGTGTTCCATATAATTGCTGGATTGTAGAACATGCATTTGTTCAACTTTAATAGATCATTCCAAGCTAAAATGGCCTCCCAAAAGCAGAGTATGAGATGTCCTTGCCAATACTTGATAGTACCCATCCTTCTCATTTTAGCCACTCTAGTGGATGACATGTGGAGGGACTCCATCATAGATTTAATTTGCATTTCCCTGATGGCTTATGAAGTTGAGCATGTTTCTTGTTGGCTGACCAGCTGGTTGTCCCCTTTTTGTGACCCTATGAATATGGCGCTAATGGAGGGTGCGGCGGCTGAATGATGTGCGAGAACTGCGCAGACCTAGTGGAGGTGTTAAATGAAACCCAGACCACAGAGCGGCGGGGTGAGAGGTGTCTGAAAGGTGTCTGGAGACCA